TTGGGGGAGCGAGCGTTTTGTTTCTGTGATTTTCGTTTTGTTTTGAGGGGAGGAGATGGGGAAATGAAGAGAAATGGAAGAGATTGAAGTAGGCAACTCCTCACTCCGCATCTGGAATTTGGATGGAGAAGGGGTTCGAAGATGTTCGAATATACGACAAGTAGAGTGACTCGCTCAGAGGAGGAAGCTGCGTACCGGGGCGTAGCCTTTTTGTGCTGTGTGGAAGATCGTTTTGCTTAGGCAGGAGGTCGTGTGTCTTTTTTCGAGTGAAAGCCCGACAACCACAGCCAGTATTTAAGAGCTTTTGCTCATGACTGAAGGCCTTGCATAGAAATCCTTACTGAAGTCCCTTTCTCAAAACTGAAGTCCTCCACCATGAAGCTCTGTTTCAAGAGCCGCTTGCTCATCCTTCACCTGGTCTGCCATCACTGGTCCCTGTCTCGGAACGGGACCGGTGTTTGGGGGGCGAATCCTTCCGTGGCGCTGCAGAGATGGCATATGATTCGGCATGGCAAAGATATACCAGGGCCGACCCAAGGGGTGGTTGATGGACAGTCCGAATCACAGCTGTTTGGGGCTATAAATAGACACCCCGACAGGAGGGTCCTGGTATATATATATATATTATATCCGAATTAGAATGGGTGATTCTATGGCATCGGTTTTCTGAAGCAATGATCACCCAAACATGACCCTGTCTGGGACTGCCATATGTGCCTGCTGCCTACTTTGATCCCCCAAACCTGATCGGCAAATACGGCAATCCCATGGGTCGTGTCTGGGATAGAGATAGAGCGCGACGAAATATGAGAACACGTTCTTTTTTAGAAGGGTGAGACATACTCCAACACATATGTACTCCTCCATCTAAATGCATGAAATACTTGCTTCACGAAAGGAGGATCACACTTGCCCCCCATCCGGTGGGCTCCCAAGACAGGTCCCCATGAGCCGCCCTTCCACAACAGCACTTCTGCCCCGGTTTTACTCGGAACGCTGAGGGGATGTGCAGCACACCATTACGCTACTGCCGCCTGAAGACTGACATCGACCCTGAAAAACCACTGGTTTACGAGGACAACAGTCTGTACGACTGGGCGCCCTTCGACCCGGGGATCCGGAACATGGACCTATCTTTTTCCTCGTCCAACGGTTTTCACGTGGTTTTCAGGTTCCACCCAGACGCTCCGTGAAAGCAGCCCGACAGGTCCCTGAAAACCTAGGGATTGGTCCGACCCCAGACCCCTCCAGAGGATGAGGGTCCGACCCCTCCAGATGAGGGCCCAGGGTCGCGTCTTGGCATGTTAGTTTTCGGGAGTGTACTGACAGCGACAGCACAGCCCGCAGGCGATGATTTGCTCGCCGCCGGTTGTGGCTGCTGAGGCATCTTCGGCGTGCGTGGGCGTAGGGAGAATCAGGGGCAAGTGGTGATCCGTTGTTTCATTCATTGGGTGTGTGTTACAATAGGAAGACCTCCCAAACCTTGCTAGCTCCCGTCGTCCTCATGGGTGACCCCCTTGGTGGCTTTGGGTCTCAAGGCGTCTCCTTCTTTGCTCCGACCACGTTCACCTGTGGTTCTCACCTTCCGCGTTTCGTCCGCGTTTCGTCCGCCGGGGTATTTTCGCTTCCTCGAAGGGCGGAGGGTCGCCGAGTGATGATGTTCAGCTGCGTTCAGCTGCGCAGCTGGGACGAATGGTGGAGCATGTGGAAAGGGGCTCGAAGGTGCCTGAATTGTGGTTTCAACTGAACAATGGGGATTTCTCATGATCCCTTATAATGTTGGATCTTGATTAGTAGAGGGGCCCCCCCCTCCCTCAAACAAATGGAGGATCCTCTATAATAAACTACCACCAAAACAAATCTGGGTTCCTGGGAGGATTCCTTGTGTAATTGATGTAGTATTCATTTTCCTTTTCTGAAATTCTTTGTCATTAGGTATTCTTTGCAATCCTTTCATACTACTACATAAAAGATTGATTAAGTAATTGATGACTTTGGGAAGCTGTGAGTTTTGAAGAAGATTTTGATAAACCTATGCTTATCAATACTCTCAGCAAGCCAACCATTGGCTTAGTGGTATTAAGCAGTACTATTTTTGTTTTTCTTCAGGAAGAACCTTTGCACAATTGAGGACCCTTAAAACATATTCATTATTGAGGATCACGGGCCTTGCTGGTCTACTACCTTGAATTTTGTTTAGGAGCAATCTTTACATACATGATTGATGGTTTTGGGAAGCTGACAGTTTTGAAGAAGAACTATAGAAACCTATACTTATATATCAATACTTTCAGCAAGCAAACCATTGGCTTAGTAGTATTCAGAATTGCTGTTTTTATTTTTCTAAAGGACACATAATTAACCCTAAATATTTTTCAAATAATAACCAATTAGGATCCAAAAACATTTTGCATAATAGAGGACCCTTAAAACAAACAGATGTCAAGAAATATTTTTCAATCATTTAGCATTATAGAGGGCCCTATTACTAATCAGCATCCAACATTACTGGGCAAGGAGTGTCCGGACATTATCCATTAGATGGGTCTTGCATGGTCTTGGCATGGGGATGGTGTTGTGCCGCTCATTTTGGCAAGCTTGGTTTAGCAAAGCCTGCTGTGTGTTGGGTACAGAGTCTCCGCAGGTAGCAGTTTCCCCCGAAGATTGCTGTGGGTGAGGAGTGTATGATAGAATCATATCCTTTTTGACGACGAACAGGAGGTACAGAACACTTCTTAGGCATTTGCTTTGAACATAGCACCCAAACCGACGGGAAAAAGGACGATATACCCTCACACTGCCTGCACCTACCTGGCCACCGCAGGCCGGCGAGGGCGACCCAACTGATGACCAAGCAAGTACGTTTACACGACTACCCCACCAAAACCCACGCCGCCACCTAAGACTTCCAGGGTGCAACTCACGTTCCTGGCAGTGGTTTCTGAAACCAGGACACCCACCGGGCACGACCAAAAACCTCGAAAGGCCCTAGGCACATGGTTCTTGGGGCTCCAGGTTGAACGATATATATATCCCCATGTCACTCACGTCACCAAAAACACATGCTCTAGAGATCGAAGCTGCAGATCCTTTGGTGAACCTTCCCTTTCACTCACTCACAGTGGAGGGATCAACAGCCCCGGACAGAACGGGTCCCCGAACCCTTCTGTGTGGGAATGCCCCCACCGCATACACAAGGCCACCTGTGTCGGACGGGCCGGACCAACACCGAAGTCCAACACCATCAAACATCAAAACATCAAACTAGGAGCGATCGGACGCTGCTGGGAGCAAAGGGCATCGCTACGAAGGGGGCAAGGACGCTACGAACGGGGCTCCTGGCCGCCTTACTACCAGGAGCTCCGGACGCTACTAGTACTCTTTCTTTTCTTCGCCGGACCGGCCTCGCTCCGAGACCAAACGGGACCAAACCCTTTGTTCGAGACCTTCGTGTCCGGCAGCATCCGGAGGAGCGGCCCAGCTTCTTTCCCGACGGGGGGGCCTGGGAGCCTAAGAGAAAGCGCCAAGCGAGCCGTTGGGAGCAAGCGGAGAGGAGGAGCGAGAAAAAGGGCGAAGAAGGGACTGAGAGATACTGAGAGTGGCAGCTGATTCTCATCGGGTGTTGAAGTTGTTGTTGTTGTTGCTGCTGTTTTTGACACACTATAGGGGTTCTTACGGTAATGGTTAAGCAGAGGCGAGGTGTTGTGCGGGCATGTCCGGCTAATTCGCTGCTATTTACTGTACGTCATGCCTCTCGAAATCCTCGAAGTGCATTTCGACTGCGCAGGCTCGCAGAATCTGATGGGCTGGCGCGGGTGCGACTGTCGCGACTGTGCTCTCGTTGTAGTGCCGTGCGCATTTTCGCAAATGATGGTCACTTTTCGTGGCGTGCGCAAGGGAAACCTCGTGTTTTGGTGGTCCAAAGTCGACTTTTGTATGGTGACAGGTGCAGGGGATCGGAGCGGTTTTACTTTGAAGTGCAGATTTCGTGGCAGGTGCAGCACTTTGGACATGGTGGCAATCTTCGAGGCGCTCTGATTTCGTGACAGGTGCATTGAATCGTGACTTTTGGACATGACATGTGGGTAGTTTGCAGATTTCGTGGCAGGCGCGGTACTTTGTGGACCTTGAAGTGCAGATTTCGTGGCACGTGCAGCACACTGTGAACCTCGAAGAGCAGATTTCGTGACAGGCGCAGCAGTTTGTGAACCTCGAAGTGTCAGCGGCTTTGGTGGGAACAGCATGGAACAGCATTTCCCGCAGGTTCCCGAGGAAGTGTTGAAGTACATGTCTGGCCACGGTTGTGACTCCAGTCAATGGATGCTACCATAGAATCGCCGCATTGGAGGGGCCCTGGAGTGGTGGTGCATTTGTTCTCAGGCCCGGATGTTCGGCGATGGGTTCCGTCGAGCTGGAATGGGGCCCAGTGGATCTTTGTCGACACCGCACTGCGAGCGGAGTGTGGGCATGCCTCTGGAGCTCATGTGCAGGAAGAATCTTGGCAGTGATTTGGGGGCCACCTTGCCGGTCGGTCAGCCGACTGAGACATAATCCGCCCGGCCCAAGAACAGTTAACAGACAGACATGTAGCAGCGGCTAATTTTAGTCTTCCAACTCCAAATCCAATGCGCACCTACGCATCTGAAGATGCTCATGCTGCCTCGTGTGTTGCAAGACACGGCTGTGAAAAATCAGCTGTGAAGAATTGCAATCGGTGCAAGTGGATGAAGAACAGACCTCGCTGGATCAGGGCTTGCCCCTTTCTGGCAGAGGCTCCTTCTGGGCCGACGTGGGGGCTTGGATGCAAAGTTTGTGCACAGAATTCTGACAAAAAGGCTTCTTGGACTCACTACGAAGTGGGCTCATCACCTGAGAAAGTGCGGCCTGCAGGAGTTGGTGAATGGTGACTCAGCACTAATGCTGAAGCAGTTGGCATTGTGAGAGAAGGCTGAAGTTCGGCTGAAGAGGTGAGCTCAACCGATGTCTCGGTGGGTTTCTTGATGGAGTCGCCTCAAGATCCGTCAGAGTATGCCAACCATAATGATGACACGGAATATGCATCGTTTTTGTGTTTTCCGGAGGTGGTGCAGCGCGTGGGCTCCGGACACATTTGCAGGAAACCAACTACGTTGCTGACGAATCTATCAGATCTTAGCCAGTTGCAAGAACTTCGTGGTGGAGGTCAGGAAAAGGGAATGGTCCAAGGCATGATCGGGCGAAGGAATCACGAAGTTGGGCTGAGTGGTCTCCAGGACTAGTGCATGTTGTTCGCTTGGCTGTGAAGGATCATTGACATCGACTTCAGGAAGCGCAGGCGATTCACGGCAAACGGTCTTTGGCAAAGATGGACCTAACCGCCTGCAGAAAGCATGCGGCTATGCAACACACTCCATATCGCCGTGATTGCAGAGTGTGCATTGAGTCCATGGGAGTTCAGGCACACAAACGTTTGAAGCTGGCTACATGGGCACTTTGCATGAGTGTTGACATTGCCGGGCCGTTTGAAACTACATGGACTTGATGCTGGCACAGGTCGTCATTGCTACGGTTCCTATCCCCTGGCCAAGCAGGTGCAGCCGATGGAAGCAGACTCAAGTGCTCCCGATGAAGCAGCAGTGATTCAAACCCTGCCTGAAGAGGATGAAGAGGTGGAGATGGCCCCAGATAGCGGGAAGACCTTGTGATCTGGAGGTGGACCTGAAAAGTAAGAGCTGGCAGGCCTGAAGGGGTTGCTTCGTCCTCATGCTCTTCGGAATTTGACTTTGGTGGAGGTCATGGCATCTCGCAGCATCGACGATGTGTTGCAGGGTGTAATGTTGGCCAGAAAATCATGGTGAAGGTGAAGCGGTGGCACAAAAGCGGTCAGCTGTCGAATCCATTTGCCACTATGACGTTGATGGGCCCCAGTCCTTGGATGTCCTTTGGTGGGTCGCTTGTGAAGGTGACCGGGCACAACGTGTGCGAGAAGCCTTGGTCCCGGCGTCAGATGCCGAAGTAGCAGTGGGGAGGAAAAAGCTGGTTCCTCTTTGAACTGCTGGGATATGTGGATGCAGTCATTGGAGAATCAGCTGCAACTGTAGTCAACATCCTGGAGGACGGCGCCCTGGAGGAGCAGATTCTGATCAGAGACTCAATGACAGCAGGCTCCTGATGGCCCTTGGCGGACTCGCCACTTGCGCCTTCGCTGCACAGTGCTCGGCCATGAATTGCTGGAAACTTCAGCACTCACCTGGAAGTGGGAGTGAGTTGGCAGTTGATCTGCTCACAAAACCTATCAACGTGGCTGGAGCTTGGGAACAGCTGCGTACACTTTCCTGGGCGCCAGGGTCGACAGTGCTGTGAGTGAGAGTGGTAGTCGAGCGGTAGGTGTAGCCAAGCTCGTTGCCACGGTAGCTAGCGTTGTAGGACTTGCCACGTGGACACCCGATCCACAGAATCTCTCAGGCCAGCTGGCCCGGTCAGACCAACACACCTAGCTAGCTTGTGTTGGAAGCATAGGACTCAGGGAGATCACTCAAGAGCGGAGCACAAGTCTCATTGGCCAACCCTGGCTGAGATCCAAGGCGTGCACTTGAAGAGATCTCAGCCGAAAAAAAAGAGTCAAGATGGTCGAGGGAACCCGACCCAACCACCGACACGGCATCGTGTCTCGACCCCGTCGTTCGCTCTGACCGAATCGACTGTTGCTGTCGACGACGAGGGTGATGGTGGCATTCCATCGAACAAGTGCCAGGCTACCATGGACAGGGAAGTGATTCATGATGACTGGACTGGCGAGCGTAACAGCGACGTATTAGGGGTCTATGAGTGGAAGGGCCATAGCTTCTTTTTTGTTCACTTTGCACCACCTCCTGCATTAAAAAATCCTTTGCCACCAGCTGGAAGTGTCTGGGGGTATGGCAGTGGAGATCCAGGTTGGTCGAGGGCGCTGGAGCGAGGGCTGAGCGCAGTGGCTTAGAGCTCAGCCTTGGGAGGTGCTGCAAGCGAGATCGCATATGATGAGCGTGCAATCAATGCACGAGTCACTGAGGATGTGATGGGTGACTTGGTATGACCAGGCTTCGAGGCCATGCGCAGTGTGGTGAGATTGACCTGCGTGAAGAAGTTTGGGAACGAGGGTTGAGAGGAGAAGGACTTTCACCACCGCAAGCCGACGAGCTACCAACCTGGATGGCCTTCTCGACTGAGGTTCCCCTAAAGGTCTTTCACATACAGCATACTGCTGTGCTCAATGGCTCAAGAAATCAAGGCGTTTGCGGCGCCGGTTTTTTCATGCTCTTACCTTCACAGAATCAAAAGAATTGCGTTGGATACCGTGGTTTGCGGAAGACACAGGGTCTTCAAGAATCAACCCAAAAGTGCATGAAGAAGGTCTTGGTATGTCTAGGTCTCGCTCGTCCACGTACCAGCGGACACAAACGAACATCCTCCCTGCTCCGTTCGCTCGTAGACCGTCGCTCGCAGAGGTCCGCTGCGATGAGCGGCAACTTTTGAGGCGTCGGACGGGTGTTTTCGCCCGGGTGCGGCGGCACGGGTGCGATGGCGAAGCGAAATCACCGGTTTTCGACGGTGCAAAGCAGATGTTCGGCACCCTTTGAAAGTTTTACTATAGTGGATCTCGTTGAAACTGCAGCTCTAGATAGCTTCCATCCATGCTTCTGCGCGCTTCGCGCAGACGCTCCCCATCGGTTGAGGATTGGGTAGACTCTTGATTAAGAATCCCCCCTATGGTGTTTCGATCCAAATCCGGGAGGTTTATTTTTTTGTCAAGAGTCTACATGATGGGTAGCGCAGGAATTGTGCCCACAGTCTTAAATTCATGATATTCATGAGTGGCGCTTGACCCCATGCTGTTTGTATGTTTTTTTTTTCAGATCTTCCCTTGCAAGACAGGCGTTGGAACTGGAGAACTTGAGCGAAAGGAAGGCTTTGCACCACCCAGAAGCTCCTAAAGCAATTGGTGGAAGACGAAATTGAAAGGAGATGTGAAACCGCGGCAGTTGAAGGCTGGTGTTACAACATGTTACAACTAAGGCGGATGAAACGCGTGTCGTTCAGAACCCAGTGATCAGTGATCGCAGCGTCACGCACATGAACCCAAAGAAACTGCTGACTTTAGAACAAACAAGTAGAAACACAGTGGCTTTTGAGGGGGATCATGATGCACGGTGTCGTTATGTCCCCAGGTTTCAAGGTTTCAAGGTATAAGTGTTTCGGCGGGATTCACCAGGTATCTTCCAACCACATACCTGGAGCAGATCCAAGTGAACAGAACTTCTGCCTTTTCAATCCTTTTCATCTATAAAACCAGCCAAGTTTGGCAGACATTTTGCAGTTGGAAGATCCAGCTAGGTAGTGACACCAAAAACTACCTCTCCCCGGGTCCGGGGTCAAAGTGCTGAAGAAGAAGATGTTTGAAGAGTGCCCCCTGCGCCAGTGTAGCGTCAGTACCTTGACACTGTCCCCCCAAAGTTGCCAGTGTATCATTTGGGTAGAGATTTCTTGGACAAGTGTATCGCTACTAGTAACAAAGTGCATTTCTACTAGTAACAAGTGCATCGCTATTTTTAGCTAGCTGGTGCTCAGAGGGGAGCGATACTGGATACGCCCCTCCACTTCTTCATTAAGCAGGGAGCTCTTGGGAAGGGACCGAGCCCGGGTCCAGTCTTCCCAACTACCTTGTACTTTGGCGTTGCCTTGGAGTGACTGGAATTGGTTCGTGCTTACTTGGCGTCCTGGGGGTATCAATGGATGTGGATGATGGTATACAAACCGGTATAAACCGGACCATTCCCCAAGCTTCTGGTCGAGAGCGACCTGGAGGATTCTTTTAATTGGGAAACCATTGGCTCCCGACTCTCATACCATACCCAGAAGCTCCATATATATATATATATATGCCTACATAGACACCTCAAACCACCCCAAAGTAGGCATATATACCATACATGGAGCGTCTGGGATACAGTAAGCTCGCGCCAGTGAAGATCCAAAGACACCAAGTGTCGACGGGGTCGTAGTGCATGGTTTGCCAGGGGGTTGTTTGTGCCCGATTCATGGATCGGAATCCAAGGGGAAGGGTGGCAGGGTACACCCTACGTCTGGAGCGTCCAAGGGTGAGGATGATTACATTCCATGCTCCATGGCACTAGCGATGGCCTAACATGTTCCGGCTAAAGGTGGCCTACTAGTGACTAGTGGTGACGGCTCCTGTGGGTTTGGTCGATTTCGGCAGCGCTTGGGATTCGCCACCGACCCTTGCCAGGTTGGCACTTCGCCGGTACCGCGAGGACCTGCAGGCACACTGACGTCGTTGGTCGTCGGTCGCGACCGACATGTTGGTTTGGAGCCGAACCGTGGGAACAGCGTTGGGTTTTTCGCCGGTGTTTTGGGGGTTAGGATGGGTTAGGGCAGCCATATCCACCCATATCGAATTTGAAAAAAAAACAATAACGACATGTCTCCATAATTCTCCTGTAATTGGAGGTGTGTTGAGGCATCTATCGTACTTTCTCCTGGTTGGTTCGATCGTGGAACTGCCAAGGCACAGATCCATTCGGCGGAAGAAATGATCCAGGCGCGGCGGTGGGCTTTTGTGTGGGGCGTCTTGGCCGTTTAAGCAAGCGTAAAACATGCATCCATCCCTGACAATAGATGCATGGTCGCATGGTTAGTTAATCATATACAAATGGCTCCGAGTTCGGATGAAAAGGAGAACGAAGACCCAACTGGTGGTGGTTTTCCACGAACACCATCATGATTATTTCAAGGAGTATAGAACCAGAGAGGTCCTCTCCGAATCTCCGGAATCTGGCGAATCGCAGATCGCCGGTGCCCTGCGGATGTGGAGCGGATGTGGACATGGTTCAAAATGGCTGGTGCAAGCAGCAAACTAGCTAAGAACAAATCACCAGCTTTCATTCTTTGCATGAAGCACTATAGGATGGTTTCTCTTGCAGACGCTATGCGATTGTAGCGTCACCCCGTTCGTTTCTGCTCCCTGCACGTCAGTGTGCTGTTCATTTGGATGGCAGCCTGGATGGACTCAAACTCCGCTTCTTCGTAGAGAGTCTGAGGGGCAATCTTCTTTACTATGTCAATTCGAAGCTAGAAAGGGACAATCAGAACGTTTGCAGCAAGCCTTTCTGAGGGATTTAGGTCTTTCGAGGCTGGTGCAGCAAGCCTTTCTGAGGGCAATTGGTCCCTTTTGATTCTCCCTTTGATTGTTTGGCATTGCAAAGGGACAATCAGAACGTTTGCCTTATGCCTTTCTGAGACCCTCTGCCTGCCCTCTGCCTGCCCAGCCTCACCAGGATCTGAGCCCTCCTAGAGCGCTTGGAGTGACTCGAATAGCATGGAATAGCTGTTCGGGATATGGGGAGAAACCATACATAGCAATACCATCAAGCCAACATGAACAGTTCTCAAAAACGGTATAGGTATGAGGTACTCAACTATAGGTATGAGGATGCATGAGGTATGAGGTACTGAAGTGATTCTGTTGGAAACTGAGGTACTTCTGAACTGAGGGCCATACCCTCATCAAACCAAGCACCAGCAAACCCAAGGTTCCTAGGTCGGGCCATGTCTTGTGTGTGAAGGAAGACGACCACAACAATGTCCTCACAGGTGCCAGGTGCTTTCCGTGGATCAAAACCAGGGGACCGACCCTGTATAAGTTTTTAACAATCAAGTGAAAAGAAAATCAAGAATACAACAGCAAAAGATAAGGAAACTCAATTTCAGCTCGAAAAAAGTCACATAAATTAAGTCGTGTTACAGATAAGTTGTTTCCTCACAGTCTCTTGCAGAATTTGGAGATGGGCTGCTTTTTCTCTGTTATTTTTCGGTTCCCCCCGTATCGATTGTTTCCGCTGCTGCATCGTTTCTGCGCGGTGCTGCGGCGGGGTCCCATTAATGCATTCTGTCCATGTTTTGCCTTTCATAGAGATCTCTTACTTTGGCTCTTGGAATTTGGTTTTAGTATTTTATAGACGCTTGTCAATCCCTCAAGCAACCTGAAGGAAAACGCATGAAACCGCCATTTGGTTTGACATTTATATAGAACCACCCTTGCCAGTGTAGATTTTATCACTTGCCATCCATTTTATAGACATATCATTTCTCATTCTTTCGATTCTTTCTCTATAAAATACCCAGCAAGTGATCCCAACCATCATTCCATGGAGGCTGCTGAAGCTGTACTTTCCCAACTCAAGGGTCAGATGGCGACCGTTCGGTTTTGCCGTCCCCAAAACCCGCGGCTCCATCCAAATCCGCCCAATTCCATCCAGAATCCTAAGTCCTAAGCTTGGTGGCGAGTTCTTTCTGTGGCTGAATTGTCGCAATGAACAGTAATTGCTTTCACGGGCCACAGTAAGCCAGCATTTTCAGAACATGTGTGTTTTTTCATGGCAATTCCTTCTCTATAAAATTCATTCATGGGCGATTTTTTGCCAGAAGGTGACAAGGTGTTGTTGGAGGCCATCGCGGTCGTAGGTTGGAGGCCATCGCGGTCGTTGGTTGGAGGTCATGCGGTCGTAGGGGGAATTCATTCACAATTCATCTGTCACCGCGAAGCAAAAAACACGTCTTTCGCCATTGAGGTGAGACCCACTCGATCCTCCCGGTCTCTTTCGCCGGAGGCACGTCTTCTTCGGGTCGGGTATAGTCATAGTCGTCTGGAGGCACTGTGGTTGGAGTAGTGGAAGGCTGGTGGGGGAAGGCTGGTGTGGACGATCTTTTTGGTGGTGAAAAACACCAAATCTCAGAGGCTGGAGGCCACACTCGGACTCACATGCTTGCATGGATGGTACTCTTGGAGGACGATTTTCCTTTTACGAACAACCCACTTTAGGGGCTGATGCGATGAGACTCCTTTTTTTCCGAGTTGAGCGCCATCTTGTTCTAAACTGTGTGTTTCCTCGCAGTTCTCAAGACTTTGAAACAATTTGAGCCCCGAAAAAAGGGGGCCCCTTCTCAAGAGTCGTGCAAACTTGCACGCCTGGGAACCGGGTAAAGTGAGTCGCATTTTTTTGGACTTGAAACTTGAGCGACCTGCTGATGCCTCAGACGAACGACGGCCTGGGGAATCCAGCACGAGAACCAGTCCGCTCCGCTCCTTCCTGACTGGTGCGATGAAAGTAAAGAATGAAGGTGGCTGGATCCTAAAGGTATCAGTACGGGGAAGAAAATAGATACTAAATGATTAGAATCATTAGGATATATTAGGATATCCGGTTAGTTATTCCCTTATTCCCTCCTTTCGTCCCACCCTTCAGTTTCCGCTTTCACTCCACCCTTTTCCAGATCCCTTTCGCTCGGCCCAGCGTGGCGCGGGCCCTCAGCAGCTGTGCACGGGCCGCGGAACGGGCCGTGCAACAACCTGGGCATGCAATTCACTCGTGACCTTGAGAAGGCAGACTCTATATTATAGATCTTCCATGATCAAAAAATGGTGTACCAGGAACAAGGAAGAGTCGACACGTTATTTTTTTTAATGTTTATAGATCTTCCATGATCTTAGAACTATGCAACATTTATGCCTTTTCATCTGTAAGACTAGCCAAAAGGCAGACATCTTGTGTAGGTGGAAGATCTAGGATCTATCTAGGAACGAATGGTCGAACTGGTGCGCTTCCCGGCTTCATGATGTGGGATGAGTTTCATCGAGTTCAGTTCGATCTCGTGTTGTTTGATCAGTTCAGTTTGCCTTGATTTGTTCTTTTCCACCAAAAAAAGCATCCCTTTTCCCATCCAAATCTCTCTCCCCCCCCCAAAGGTTCCTGGTCTCACCCTTGATTGAATGGCCCGTCCTCGACCGAACCACCGAGCCAACGCTCTTTGGGCCTCCCAGCTCCTTCGGATTCCGCTCCGAGGCGCATCCCGCTTGGCCCCAACGAGGTGCGACGGCGAAAGCATTGTCCTCGCCGTCAGGGCAGGACAGGGCAGGCCATTTGCTATCATATGCGCGCTATATATCCAACTTGATCTGAAGGTCTTGATCTCGTGTTGTGAGATCTTAGAGAAAGCACAGATCTATCTTGTGAAGAGGATGTGACCAGAAGAAGCTCTGAGCTTCTGTCCGATCTCCAGGCGTTGGTATCTACGGGTGAATCCATTGGGCACCTCTCTCCGCTTGCGACCTAAACCAAAGAGAGGGCGGCGAAGACGAGGGTGCAGATGTGGTGATGTCTAGCATATATGGAAGACCTTTTTTAGGACCTATAAATGACCCTTTAAACAGAAAGACTCGGAGCCCTTTTTCCAAAAACGTGGGGTTTTTGGCAGACCGGCGATGTCCTTCGGTTTAGGTTCCGATGCCACGATGTCGGCCGCCCCGAAACCCGAGACGAAGACTGGGGCAGTGCAGATTTCTGCGTGGCAGGTGCATCATCGAGTTCCAGTGTGCAGCATCAGCCGCTCGACCTTGTGTGAAGGACCTGTGATGATTAGAGCTGGATGGAGCAAACAGCTAAGGGGCGCCATGCTGTCCATGCTACTAGCCATGCCCAGGGCTAGCTCCAGTCGTACCTTTGTTTCAAAGGTGGCACTGGGGTGGGTGCCAGGAGGTTCCCCAAACCTGCAGGAGGTGCGACTGGAGCACGTTTGGGGTGAAGAAACTTCAGCGCTCCAGTGTCGTCAGTTCATCCAAAACCGGTGTTTCCGTCGCGCCGAGACAGAAAGTGACTCGTCGAGACAGAAAGTGACTCGGTCCTGAGACGTTCTGCGAATCTCTTGCGCGCTGCATTCGTGGGGTTGTTCAATCTATCACTCTGCCGCAGGTGGGCAAACGTAGTAGTGGGAGTGTTCCATCTCCATCTTCCAGTTGAGAAGAGCCAATTCACTCGAATGGGCACGATATCTGTTCAATGGGTGACTGATGCATTAGGAAAACCCGACTGGGCGGCACTTCTGGGAGCGGCTTGGCGGATTGGTGGCCATGCGATGTCTCATGTCTACGGCCAACGCCTGGTAAAAAAAAAAAACACGATTTGTGTCGCGCAGGCGCCAAGTGGCGCAACGTCTTCACTGTTTTTCATACATGTCATCCACTGTCACCTCCGTCTCCAAACCCCCAAACCTCCGAGGCTGCAAGCGCGGCGCGCGCTGGAACTCGCGCTGCAGGCGCAGACCGGGGAAGGTGGCAGCCGTGGGATGACACCTGAGGCTATAATCATCTTATGATAGTGGCTCTAAATAGATATTGGCACAGTTTCCAAAACATGTTTAGTGGGGATCGTTTTTCTAGTTGGGGGCCTATATAACTATGATCTAATGGCGTACACAAGCTGGTCTCAAGTGAGTATGGGCCCTTAGATGATCCTAGCAGGGGCCCAGATAGATGCAATGCTTTTTCGCGCTTTGCGTCAGACCTTTCAGACCTTTGCTGTGAGACGCTGTCCTAGGCATTGGAATGTCCTAGGCATTTACCTTTGGATCATTGACCTGTTCTCCCGCTAGCTGCTCTACTGGCCACATCCACTTCAATTTACTTCCCTGGTGGGTGACGATTGGAGTAGGGTGGATTTGGTGGGGTCGACGAGGACCAAATGCGGAACCTGCCAGTGAGTCTGCTGCCACAATTCTGAGTGCAAAGCCCTTGACGTCGGATGGCCGGCCCCCCCTGGCATTGCAATCAGTTGGAGGCCTGAAAGCAGGGGATAGCATCCTAGTCTACTACGAGGGTGACACTTTTTGGCACTGTCGATGCCTCTTAGCATGTGTAGATCGCTCTGTATATGGATCACTGTCGCACCCGACGGTGACATCTATGCAGAGGATGTGTCAAGTGTCAACGAAGATTGGTTTGCTTGGAGAACATGGCCAATCGGAGCTGGTGCGCCACTGGGAGTGGACCCCAATGTGATCTACCGGTTTCGCCCAGCACAGCCGATCTTCAGCAGTTGATCTGGAGAGCAGCATGCTCAACAAGAGCGGGCCCGACTAGGTGTGGTACTTCCTGTGGCGGCCACCCCCCCATTCCTGCGCCAGCTGTTCCAGCACATGGTGCAGTCGCAGGGGACGGGGCTCGTCGTCAGGGTGGACATCCGGTCCCAGATCTTGTTCCTTTGCCAGTCGAACCGGGTGAGCATGGTCAGTTGGTTGGTGCCGGGCTTGGAGACTTGGAGACGCGCTGGAGACTGCCTCTTCCGATGCCATGAGCCACTGGCCATCAGCCGGGACATGGATGGAAACCGGTTCACAGACTTTCGTGCTGCCGATTCGCAGCCAGTGGAGTTCAAAGATTGGGACGTCGCACCCGGCCAACAACCACTTGGCATGTCATCTTGCAACTGATCGAGCATGGACTAGGGCACCATCAGTCATGGAGAGTATAGCGTGCAAATTCCACCCCACGGATGGACCACCAATCGAGCACGAAAGCTAGTGTCGCGTTCTGCCAAAATTGATGTGTTACGATCAGACAGATGCTTGCAATTTAGCAGGAGTGGAGCTCGTGGTCCGAGCCAATCGAGGAGAAACACACAAGTGCAAGATGGCAGCCGACGAGATGGGGGAGAGCTCGCTGTTCATGGGGGTGTCGGGTGGAGCAGGAGTGGGACAGTGGTCTCACCGAAGTGGGTGAACGCCGGGGTACGCACCCTGGCAGCCAATCGCTTCTTCAACCCATCCATGGGGACAGGCCGTATACTAAGGTCCTCCCCCGTCGTCCCAGACTTGTCAAAAGTCTCATTGCTGGCTGAGCGGTGTGGGAAGTCATGATTAATTTGTGGGCCGCTCTATTGTGGAGCGTTTTCTTGCTCCATGTCCGCCTTTTTGACCCTGGAAGGCAAGGGAACAGGAACAGAACTTTACGGAACCTGACAGAAGCTGCTTCTATTTGTCTGGATTTTGATGGATTTTGATTAGAAGTGTTTCTGCTCAAACTCACATCCATGGTAGGGACTTCTATATTATAGCCATAGGGTCCACAAATCCCTTAAGGGGGGCACCCACATGGGCTCGTGTCCGTGCTGCAGGAAGCTCAAGAAGCCCCGCATGGGCCTCCAAGAATCCAGGTGCAACGCCGAAACTCACCGCGGGTCAGGGCTGAAGGGGTAGAGCATGGGTCAGAACTGTAGACTCTTGATCTTAAAAACCACCCCTTTTGTATTCAAGTCAATTGGGGGTAATATTAGTCAAGAGCCTAATATTGTGTGCTGTATGAACCTTGATAACAACTCCATTGTGAAAGTGTCACGTGCATTTAGATTCAAGATGGTTCAAGGGCATCTATGAACTCAAGAACCTTGGCTGATGTGGAACTGCAGTTGGGTCGACTTCATTCCTTGAAGGATAGTTTCTTGATGGTTCCTGATGCCTTTAGCAAAGGCACATCAGGAATCCTCTGGTTCAAAATTGCCATGCCATGCAGCTTGTGGTTTTTTTCCGAGTCATTTTTCATGGAGAGCCTCCTTGAGATCTACCAAGCTCTTGCAGAAACCCCTTTGCTCATTTTTCACAGACCAACAAAAAGCGAAACCCTGACACAAGTTGCCCACAGGTCTGTGGCTTGAACAAAACATCTTCGGTTTCCGCACCCACCTTCCGCACGATCGCTCGCGGCGAGACTCGGTCTTCTTCTCGATCGTCGGTCTGGCCACGGAAGACCGAACCGTTCGCTGCAGGGAACGCCATTGGATCCCAGAATCAGGAGCCGAGCGCGCGCTCGTCGTTGACACATCGGGAAGACAGGCGACGCAAGTGGAGGGCGGAAGAAGAGAAGGTACCAGTTAAACTGTGGCGGCCACCGAGGGCGAAGCGGAGCTTTCTACAACCATTGAACTATTTTTGAAATTATCATCATTGTTTGTTTGATCTTCCCTATAGGTTCTGTGACAAACTCAGAAGAATCCTCATCACCCACCTGCTTCACCTGACTCACCTGGCTTTGCACCTCTCGTGTCCAAACATGTTGCCCTTCGGTCTTCCTAGCCAATTATGCCAATCGATCAAGAGATGGGGCTGGATCGTGCGAGGAGTGGATAACAAAATGGATACACCCATCATGTAAACTCTTAGATGATATGACAACCTATCCCTGTAGGCCTGGAGGAGTTCTTGCAGTCCATGTCTTGGGGGATTTCTTCATCCAAAGTCTACAGAGTCTACATACCTATAGAGCCTGACTGACTGACTGACCTCTGTTTTGATAGGAACTTGGACCATATATTGGAGAGTTGATCCTCCCAGCTCCAAGGGGTCACGACCCGGCTCCCTCGTCAGGCTCGTGACCTAGGTCACTCGATGTAGCGAAGGACCAGTCCACCAGTGTGAAGCGAAGGTGTCCACCAGGTACTCCACGTACCTCGTGCCCGGTCGGTCGCCTCCCGAAGAAGGCCCGACGTTTTTTGGCCATTTCAGTGGACCATGTAGTAGTTACTGTAGACTCTCTTTCTTGAACAAAACAATCACCACCCCAGACGTAGATTGAACCACCTCTTCCTAGGGGGGGACTCGAAGTTTCAGTTGAGAGTACATCACTCTAGTTTAAAGGATGTTTGTCCCATGCTCTACCCCTGACCGGCACAGCGCACCTCGCACCGCAGTCCAGTCCAGTCGTCTGCCCTCCATGCCGCCGCCGTGTTTCCGATGCACCGCCGTCCGCTGCGCCCGGGAGACGGTCGTCCGCTGCGCCCGGCGGAAGGACCGAGTCCAAGGAGTCCAGAGAGCCGGTGAAGGAGACACGACGTCCGGGGGGGGACCGTGGAAGAGTGGCGGAGCGTGGCGGACCGTGGAAGACATCGTCAAAGAGACAAACACGTGAACAGATGCTGGATGCGAGTTTAACATGTGTGTTTTGTGACTTGTGTCTTTTTTGTTTGTATAGCCCAATGTATCATATACATCACACAAATGCTGTTGTATTAGATCTTATAGTATCACATAAATGATGTTGTATTAGCTCATACAATATCATGTATGTCCACCAATGCTATAAAGCTGGCAAGTGAATCTAGACCTCTACTCTCGCGAAGAAAAATCCCCTTTATCAGCTGTGTTTCGAGAGAGGCGGACTAGTGGATACAGATCTTCCCATAGACACCGGGAAATCCAACTTCAACCGAGTGGTGGTGGTGATGACACATGATGAATGCAAATATCTTTGGCGCAGTTCTTCCAAGAAAACACACCCTGGTGGTGGGCCCAATTATAAGTATACCGACCTGCTCCGAGTTTTTCGTGCGTGTTTCTTGAGCAAACCACGGTCACTTCACGCGCTAGGAGTCACGGTCACCTCTTCAGGCGAAGACTTGCAGATCGCGGGGGTCTGTCTTGGGGGAGTTCTTATATCGGCTCTTGTAGTCGAAGGGCCGCTCCGCGGCCTCGGCTTTTCGGTGCGTCCCAAATCGAAGCTCCGAAGATACGGATCTTGAGGTCGAAGCAAGATGGGACAAGGGAACTTCTGAGAAAGTTGGGAAGAGGTTCGAAGAGTGGACAAAACATACAAAAACAAAACATCCATGCCTAAGCAGGGCCTAGGGAGTCTGAAAAGAGAGATGGATGGGTTTCCTAATCCTAAGGTCATCCACAGCAGAAGGCCACATCCTCGTCACCACATCCTTGTGCCAGATCCTGGCCCACCGTTGAAGCTCCTTGAAGTTCTTGTTGGGAACACCGTCAGTTTTCTTTTTGATTGGTGGCGATCTCGATTCAGGAGTTTAGGTTTAGACCTTATGGGAGTGTTCTTTTTCCTGGCCACTGGCCACCGACCTGAATTGTTTGGGCATTCGTCACGATACGTCACAATTTCTACAATCTATTATCTTTTTCCCAGCAAATCCCAGCTGATTTGGTTGGGAAAACTTGACATCTCCCAGCCTTATAGGTGACATTTTAGAGTTTCGGCTAAAAGAGTGCAAAAGAGTGCAGCAAGATAGTAAGTCCCATTGTGGGGTCTCTTCATGTGTCCTTCCCAGAGTTCGGATCTCCCCTCCTCTCCCCTCTTGATCGTTGCCAGGCCCGAGCGACGGCCTCGGGCGCCAGAAGCGGCGCTCCCACTCCCTGGCGAGGCCAGCGTCGAAGCGTTTTGGCCTGGCTCCAAAGGTTTTTCTCATATGGCCTCCAACTTACTAGCGATGGCCTCCAACCTAGAAGCGAGGTTTTTCTCATAGAATAGTTGTGTCACAATGTGTCACATTGTCTGTCACATCTCAAACACTGCCCTTTAGTTGTGCGTTTGTTTCGCGTTCAGATTCAGATCGTAACCGAACTCCGAACTCTGGACCTCCATCTCCATCTCCCTTGGTCTTCGCGCCGAACTCCGCATGCCGTGGTGTGACTGTGGAGACGGTCCGAAACCGAGACAAGACGAAGACGGTCCGAAGCTCAAACAAGCTGGAGACGGCCCCCCAAAGGGACAACGATTTGGATCATGTTCTTTTGGAAGATGTGTAGATAGATTAGCAAGTGCCTGAAAAGGAGGAATTTGGATTTGCTTTATACCGTTCTATACTCCCCTCAGAACTCTTGGCTCAAGTGAACCTAGACAATTTTTGGACAGTCCCTATACAAACAACCACCTGGGATTCGAGCTAAGTCCTGATGGGGGGGTGTATCTCTATTGAGACAAACCCCAGTGCTCAGACCTCTGGTGGTGTCATTGAAATGGTTTCCTGGAGCGGTCCAGGAATGGTTGGTGAGTGATGTTGACCCTCCCAGGAAGAAGAAGCGTAGTGGAGTTCACTCCCTATTTGTTATGCGGATTTCATCCTCTTTCCGCCAGGCCATGTAACCATGACCTTGGAGAGAGCCAGGGAAATGGTCGTCCAAACTTATAAGGGAAATGGCAATGGTCGTCAATGGCATGAGGAGGGAGCCTAGGGCCTATGCCATCCTCTTGTGGTTTAGGCCACTTCCACTTGTTATCCCCTCTAAATCTCTGAGTTGGATTTTCCAGCCAAACGTCCCCACACCATTCTCCATCGGCTTCTCCAGAGTCCGTCGTTCTTCGTGGTAAACCAGAGGAGAAGCCACATTCGGTGCGGTTCATCATTGACCATGAGTCGGACGTGGAGAAGCCACAGGTTTTCACATGTTGACCATGACTACTTCATAGACTCAGGAATGAATACAGTAATCCCCCGTAATCCCAGACTCTCCCATGTCTGGGGATGGTCAAACCTGCTTCAGAGGCCAGGCCACAGTTTTGTTATTTTCAATGAATTGAACCAGTTTCGCCACATACACGACTTTCGCCACCATCGATGGCACCACTCCGACTCGGAGTCCGACTGAACAACCGTTCCTCTCGCTGACAGCAGCAGATCGTTCGGGATCCGATCCGAACCATGAGATGGTCTTGTGGTGAATGGTGAACACATATTACCCTAAGAATCATTAGACCCCACCACTTCTGGAGGGTTTGGACCCTGCTTTTTTACAAGGAGTTTGGACCCGAACCAAACCTTCACCGGCTGAGGGTACTTGATTCTTAGGGTATGTGAGATTTCTTTCCCAGTTCCTTAAGAGAATCCACGATGAGATGGAGGTGGTCGCACTGTGGTTGCACTGACCGAACCCGGGTCGTTTTCCCTTTGTTTTCTTGGACCATTCGCAGCCTTCCCGTGGTCCGGCAGGCGAACGTGAGGAACCCGTGTTCCCACGAAAGTGGTTTGGTGGATCGCCAGAAAGGTCACCTGCAGGTCTTGGAGATGGGGGAAGACCCCTCCAAAACGGAACAGGTGGTGCTTGCCTGAGTGAGGTTTACATGGTCTTTTCCTATCAAAACAGGGGTCAAACGTGTTCCCCACTGTAACCTCTGGCACTGCTCCGCAAGAGCTTCCAGCGCCATCGTCTTCCGCCCTGCCTCAGCCACGGCTCGTCTTCTGCGAAGGATTTCACCGTAGGACCTGTAAGAAAGTGGCAGCTATAGCTTATGATCAAGCCTCTCTTTCAAGTCTTTCACTTAAAGGCTACTTGCACGTGCTTAGACATACTGAATTATTCTTGACTGGTGAGACCACGTGAAACCGACATACCGGTCATGTTCGTTGGTATGTTCGACAGACCACAAGACCATGAACCATGTATCAGGATAGTTGGACCCCATGTTGGCACATTCACTTCCAGAGATGGCATACTCACCATAGATGGCAATGCTGCGATGTTGCCTTTCTGCTGGCTTCTTCCAACTCTGGCTGCGGTATCAGCAGCCTCCGAACAAGTCCTTACAGAGGTTGGGGAGCCAGCTTTGGAAGGGGATGTGGTTGGGACGAGTACGCGCTTTCTGAGTTCATGCTGGGCAACTGCCCATTCATGCTGCGAAGAATATTCATGAGTTGATGAACCAGTGTGACACCGAGTCCTACAAAGGGAAGTGATGAACAATGCAAATCCGTGTTGATCCTCATCCATAGGCCGTGTTTCCAAGGTAAGCATCTTCAAAAGTAGTGGCCAAGCTTCACTGTAGTATGGGTGAAGTACTGGTTCAAGTCCCATGGTTCTTAGTATGAGACTGATTAAAACGTGGCAAACTCATACAGTTACTGTCCAAACTTGACCTGATTAAGAATCCGTCTTTTTTCTAAAAGTAAGGCTAAGAGATGCTAAGAGTCATGGCGATGTGGCTGGTTTCGTCATGGCACCTCCTCCACCAGAACCATGGCAGAGCTCTGGTGATATCCCGTACCGATGAAGACGAGGAAGCAGCACCTCCGATCGATGGGGGGTCTGTCCCAGGGTCCCCCGACGTTTTGGATCCGCCTGATGCCACAGGAGGAATACAGGTTTTGAGGTGCACCTGAAGGAAGGACGCCCATGTCCATCCGACCCAAACCGCGGGTTTTAGCACCGCACCGCACCCTGTTCTGAAGCGCCAAATGGCCATACATAGCCCAGATGCCGGGGCGCTTCACCGGTCTCCACCGCCGCGTCCGCTCCGAGGCGCCCAGCTGTGACGGGGTCTTCTTCGTCCCGTGGTTCAGCGTTCGGGTCCGTTCGGTGGGTTGGGCGAGGATGGGATCCGATCTATCGATCTGAAGAATCCGAAGAGGTGACAGGGTACAAGATTTCGGAAAAGGTCCGCTCTAGTTTGGTTGTCCTTGTCCAAGTGAACACTGGCACATTTTTTTGCTGTTGAAGGGAACAACTGACCGTCAAGCTTAGTCTGTGCTTAGCATTCGTCCGACCATTTTCAGAGCTCTCTTTAGCCTCCGTCGTTTTTTTTTGGGGGGCGCAAGATGGGCGCACCTTTAGGTGGAGCACAGCTCGGAGCGCGCAGCAGAGCGCAGCTGCACCCGACATCTATCGGACCTGTTGGACCCCCCCCCAGACCTCAGCTTAGGAGCTTCACCGGCATAGTCCCACTACTAGACTCTACTGTACCTATATAGTTCATTACAGTATATAAGTATACTAGACTATACTATATACAATAACTGTATACTAGCTCATTACAGATGCTGCAGTTTGCTGCTGTGGTGCTCACTGGGCTTTCCCCCGGTCGTGCATGAAAAAAGAAACACACAAGGGACCGTGACCGAGAGACGTTCGGTCCCGAGGCGACCTTCAACATCCAGAATTATGGCGTGAGCAAAGCCTCAAAGCCTGCAGTTTTGGATGCGCTGGCTGCTACCATCCATCGTCCCTTGCTTGCCTTGCTTGTTTCTGCTCCAGGCGTGCGCCCGTGCTGCGGGACCCAAGGACCCAACCAGGGTCGTTTCCGCAACCAACGGGGAAGGTTGCTTCACCACCGTATTTATTGCGGATGCAGAATACAGCCAGCTTGGATGATTTTTGGGCCTATTGCCTATTACCAGACATGCTGCACTTGAGAACCTTAGGAATGACCAGACTGGCCCTTGTTCAATCACCAACTTGGGGTTACTTTGGTGCCATAATTCGTCATGGTCGCTCCCAGGAAGTACGTGGAGAAATCGACCCCCCAAACCCCTGAAAGACACGGCTTCTTCCCCAAAAGAGCGACGGCGACGCACGGCGAAGCACGCACATCATCATCGATCCCCTGATCTCCGCTTCGATCCAACCAACGGAGTCTTCGTTCTGGTGTGAGTTCACAGTTCGATGCTTCGGAGCACCTTTTCCTACAGAGGTGGACAGTGACCTGAACGTTCGGACCCGTCACCAGGGGTACCTATAAGATAGTCTAGTTCGGGTTCTTCAACCTCTGCTGGTTGGGAGCCCGTGACTCCCACGATCACCTGTGAAGGATTAGTCTGTGAAGGAGGGCCCACGAATGAGACTTCAAGCCTGCCCTGAATCTGGCCCGGCTTGGGGTCTTGAAGAATTCCAGCATGCAGGACGTGCGGTTGGCCGTTGTCGCGTGACCATTCCTACGGATCGAAACGAGGATCGAAATGACTACCTCTGTGATAGTCGGGGGGTGCAGGCTTGGTTCGGACGCTGGGTGCAGATGAGGTGTACTGCCATCGTTGCCTTCACTGTGCGGAGGATGTGTATTGCATGTTTATGCTATCAGCTCTGAAACCGCGCTAGTAGTGGTTTGGGTTTGGTTGGGGCCTATTCTCTGATCTGACGTTGGCCAGGGGGTTGGGTTTGGGTTCGGGCGGGGCCCCATTAACGTTCTTGTGAATGCACTTTCTACACTTACGCTACGCTT